TCAAGCTTTTTTTTCCAAAAGAGAAAATCCTTTTAATCCTTTAGCAAGTCTCTGTGAAAATAGTATGCTTACAATAAAAGGGAGAAGGGAGTATCTAGAACACCCCAACAGGCTTGCTATACCATTCAGCATTGCTGCCCCATCTCCTGTGTGCATGGATGGCCAACAAATGACAAGAAGTCCACTTGATAAGAGTTCAGTAATTTCTTTCACCACTGCTGCCAGCTGAAGTCGTCATTGCTTCCAAAGACCAAGAAAAAGCCCAGTATAGTTGCAAAGATGACTGTGTTTCCTGTGAGAACAAGTGCACAAGCTCCCCACGCAATCTATGGAAATAAGATATAAACAGTCAGTTAATAGACATATGAAAACAAAAAGAAAATGAAAAGCAAATGAAGGCTCTAGTTGTGTGCCAAGCATGATCTAAAACACTACTGAACACTTAATAGTACCTCTATTTTACTGTTTGTATTTATCTCTAGTTCCTTTAAAAAGACAAAATCATGGAAAGATGATTATTCAAAAGAAGCTTGTTGCCTTCTGGGCTATGAGGAGGCAGCATAGAATTCTACAATTTACTGTTTATAAAGAAATTTGCTCCAACTCTTCTTTAGTGAATCTAAAATTTTATCTAGAGAGATTAAAAAACAAAAACCAACAAAAAAACCAATATACAGAGAGCAGATTACATTGACAATATCAGAGGTGAAAACATACTCATGTACAATCCTTTAAAAGGGCAGGAGCAGTATGAAAGGGTGGCCAGTCCCCATCTTTTCTGTCTTCTCTACTTCCCCAGAGATGAAAGAGTGAACCTATGACCGGGGAGTTTGGGAGGAAGAGCTGAGTATAGGTAACCCAGCCTTTTCCTTTGTACTTCCCCACCTGCAAAGAATACATGCTCTCCTTGGGTCTTCCCTGTTTCGAGCTGTACAGCACAGGTCTGCGGTTGTTCAGCACCTGGTTGATTAGCTTTTGTGCCCAATTCTGACAGCAAAGTATCGGTAAGCCAACCATGCTGCACACCTGAGCCATGCTCTCCGATACCATTTTTATCAGTTAACAACAAAAGTATGTTTCTAAAATCTCTATCCTAGAGGCTCCCTTGTCTCATCACTTTTTCATGTCATTTTAACAAAAATTTTTTCCTGAAAAAAACTTTTCATTAGTGAAGAATGTGTTCACTTACCAGGTGTGCTCTGGCAAACACAATAGGGAGTCCGAAAGCTGAGACAACAATGCCTGTTGTAAGAAATATGGCAAGTTCCTTACAAGCGTTACTCATAGCATCTGTATCATCCACTAGTCTTCTTGCTATGCAGTATGGAATAGGTGAAAGGATGTAAAAAAACAGAACAAAGAGGGGCCAGTATTGGCTAGAAAAAGGAAAAAATAAGTTAAGGTAGTTTTGCTATTTATGTCATTTTCCAACACATAAAATATGCTTTTTAAAAATAAGGACCAAAGGAATAATATTGCAATGTACAAAACATGACACAACTTAAACATAAGCTATAACCTGAACACCAAAAAGAGGAACATTCAGAATCATAGTATTCCCATTGTTAATTATGATACAATTAGTAAAATATTTCTTATATTAAAAGAAAATGCTTTATAAATTAAAACAGTTGGAATCAAGGCCTAAAACTTAAACTATATTTTATTTTAGGTTATAAATACAGAGGCATACGGGAAATGGGAATGTTATCACAGTGATTTTTAAATTCAAAAGTCATGCCCTTGACTTCAATGACATCCTGCCTCAGCACAGAGCTGGAACACCTCCAAACTTTTTTAGGTCACTAGGAACTCTTCAAATATAAAAAATCAAAGTAGAGAAAATGAACTGAAAGTAATACTGAAAACTTTAAGCCAGAATATAGAATTGATTACAATAAAAATAGATGGCTTTTAGCCTGTAGCTCAGCTACTGTATTGTCATTTTCTGGTTAAAATAATAAAATTATAGTTATGTGAGACAGTATCACTGAGGGGAAACTGTGTGAAGGGTACAGGGGACTGTTCTGTACTATTTTTGCAAATTCCGATAGTCCATAATTATTTTAAAATACAAGGATAAAATACACATATGATTGAAGAGTCATTCATACAGGCTTATACTAAGCAAAGATTTATCTATGTTTTTACTAAAAATCTTTTCCTAGATATTTTGAGACTAGAAAAAAATTACAAATGAACATATGCTTAAGGAAAAAACTCAAACAATACAAAAGCACAAAAAGAGAAAACTCAAAGTTGCCCACATCTCCTCTGCTTTTTCCTTCCTACTCTCCTATTAAGCTTCTTGTGGATCGTTCCATCTTTCTATTTGATAAAAACTTTAAAATTACGAATGAATCGCTGCACTTTTCCATTTAACAATATATCTTGAACTTTACATATTAGCAATTACAGCTCTTCCTCATTCTTTTGAAGATGGTTTCTCAGGATTACTTCTACAGCAGTAAAAACAAATTTTTTGAGCTTTAAAAGCAGAAAAATGTTATTCTTATATATGCAAAAAACCCCCCACAAACATTTTACATACTTGTATATTGGAAGGGCACATCCAAGCATCAAAAACATCAGCCCAACTGCTCCTCCAAAGGACAAACTAATCAAAGCTGCAAAGTAAATAAAAAGTCAAGTAGAAATAGTAATTAAACTAAATCAATTATTATTTTTTATTATTATTATTATTATTAGCAGTCTGAACATTACTTGTAATCTCAGAAGTAAAAAGCAAAACAATACACACAAAACCAAATGTACTGAAAGTGAGTTATCTTTCAAAGTGTAAGTTACCTAGTCACACAACATGTCTTCTATAGCATCTTCAAGGCAAAACGAAGCAATATTGATTTTCAAATTGCTAGCACACCACTGAATTCCCTGGCTCCCTTCTCAATCTACAAGATCAATGCTTCTCCAGACATTAGTATTATATTTACTCCACAGATCACTATAGTTTTGAAAAGCAATTATGTGGAGAAACTCCGCACTGTCAGCTTTACTGGACTTGTCCTCTGGGAAAATCTGTCTGGCTCAGCTTTTGCTCCTTATACATTGCAAATGTACACAAAACTGATAAGGTAGTTTCTAAAGTTATACACACATACTTATACAAAGCATTGTATTTTATAAAGGGTTTTCACATATATCAGTAAATAGAAACAACTTTCTTGAATAGTTAATCAATGGCCTAGAATTAAGCAAATAAATAAATGATCAATTTATTTCCAGTTCTATATAACTGGTATTTCTGCAACTATGTGCCTAAAAGAATAACATGTCTTTTTTTTAGTGATGTAGTTAAAATTCCAAAGATTTGCAGAAGGCCTAAAAGTTGTCAAGACAAAAATCTAACATATACAAACCAAAATCCTACATAATAAAAGGGCAATATGCAAATTGACCCTAAAGGCAGAACAACTGCTGGATCAGTCACTCTGAGGTGCACTGACCACCTCTTGGTCCCTTTTCCCGGTCGGCAGGCTCCAGCGTCCTGATGGCCACCCGTGGCAGGGGCGGGACCAGCATGTGGGTGGGAACAGCCGACCTCTTGGTCTCTTCTCCCAGGCATCAGGCTCGGATCACCCAATGACAAATGGGGAACTGGGGGTGGGTGATGGTGGGGGGCGGGGCCAGCTATGGGCAGCTGGGGAAGATGGCCCTGATCACAGGCCAGGCCTAGGGACCATACCTGCGCACGAATTTCGTGCGCCAGGTCTCTAGTTAATTATAAAGGGGTTAGATGTTGCCAAGTACTACTGATATACTTCTCTGAATTAAAGTGAGCAAAATCAAGGAATCCCATGGACGTGGTAGCCTAGCACATTTAGTTTTCATCTAGATCATTGATGTAGGGCATATCAACCCTGAACACATTTACATAGTCTAGTGGTTCTCAACCTTCCTAATGCCGCGACCCTTTAATACCGTTCCTCATGTTGTGGTGACCCCCAACCATAAAATTATTTTCGTTGCTACTTCATAACTGTAATTTTGCTACTGTTATGAATCGTACTGTAAATATCTGATATGCAGGATGTATTGAGGCGACCCCTGTGAATGGGTCGTTCGACCCCCAAAGGGGTCACGACCCACAGGTTGAGAACCGCTGACTTAGTCCTTAATGCAATAATATTTTCAGCGACTGAAAGAAAAATTTGCATTTTAATTTTACAGTAAATGAGGAAGTTTACAAGGGAATGCAATGTAAATGATTAGGGAAATACTGAATTTACCATCTGTTTTGTTCAGTTAAATATAGGTCTTCATAATCTGTCCTGTGTATGTCCCCTGAACACATATCAATCACAACAGGCTGCTCACTCTTGCCCTCTGCACTCCAGTGACACTCTATGTGGTCATTGCACGTGTTGTCTCTTCTACCTCAGACACAGCTTTATTCATTCATTTCATTCAAAAAATATTTACTGAGCACCAAATAGGTAACAGGGGCTGGGGATATGTTAATAAATGAGATAAGGCCCTTTCACACTCAGGGAGCTTGCATTCTTGTCCTACTACAACTTCCTCTTTCCTCCAAGTTAATTTCTACTCTTCCTTCAGGTCTCAGCTCAATTATTTCTTCCTCAGTAAAGTCTTTCCAAACCTCCTAACTATTATATTCATTCATTCAAGAAGTATCTATTGAGCACCTAATGTATGTCACACACTGTTCTTGATTCTGAAGATAAAGCAATGAAAAAAATCAAAGCTCTTGCCCTGGCCAGTGTGGCTCCGTCGGGTGGAGCAATGTCAGTACACCAAAAGGTGGTGGAATCCATGGCATGTGCAGGAAGCAGCTGACCGATGTTTCTCTCTCTCTCAATCTCTCTCTGCCTTCCTCTCTAAAATTATTTAAAAAAAAAAAAATCAAAGCTCTTACTCTCACGAAGCTTACATTCTAGCAGGAGAATAAATATTTAAAAAGTCAGCCAGCCAAGTCACTGGTTGGGTGTCAACCTATGATCCAGGGGGTCACAACCTATGAACCTGGCCAGGGCACATGCCCAGGTTGCAGCTCAATCCCCAGGGTGGGGCCTGCAGGAGGCAGCTGACCAATGATTCTCTCTCATCATTGATGTTTCTCTCTCTCTCCCTCCTCTCTGAAATCAATAAAAATATATTTTAAAAAATTAAAAAGTCAGCAAATACATGTCAAGTGCTATGAAAAAAGTCAGATAGGGAAAGGGGAGGGAGTGTTATTCCAGATCCAGAGGCCAGGGAAGGCCTGATGAGGTGACATCTGAGTAGACACCTATATGAACTGAGAAACTGGACCCTGTGGGTATCGGGGGGAACTCTGCAGAGGGACATGCATGTGCAGAGGCTCTCCTTACACCAAGCATGTCAAACTCAAAGGCTAACACGGGCCAAATAAACAAGGTTTAAGTTTATGTGGGCCGCAAAAGAACAAAAGCTTCAATTTTCATAGAAACGTAGGTTTATTTCGATAGAGACATGCTGAATACAAAGGACTGAAATAAATGAGTAATCGTTAACATAATAAAACATTTTAACAAAAATTACTTTTTCTTGAACATTAACTTACCAGGCACTGAATAACTGCACAAATTAATAAGTGTAACGCAAATAAACCTATTTTTCTTGTTCTCTGAAAGTGAAATATTTCCTATTGCGCACACCAAACAAGTCAGTCCAAGACTAATGAAGTGGCAATTGGCTGCTAAAATATTCACTGCTAGTATCAGTGGAGAGATGGTGCGAAGGCGCGTAAGGGAATTAATTCAACACGATTTTAGTAATCAGTCATTAGAGAACGTTGTAGTTCGTTATTAATAACTAGAGGCCCGATGCACAAAATTCGTGTGGGGGGGTGGGTGAGCTCCCTCAGCCAGGCCTGTGCCCTCTTGCCATCCGGGACCCCTTGTTCCTAACCACCCGTCTGCTCACTCCTTACCACTTGACTCGCTGCTCCTTAGCGCTGCTGTGGAGGCAGGAGAGGCTCCTGCCACCGCTGCTGCGCTTGTCAGCTGTGAGCCCTGCTTCTGGCTGAGCGTGCTCCCACTGGGGGAGCACACTGACCACCAGCGGGGAGCTCCTGCGTTAAGCGTCTGCCCCCTGGTGGTCAGTGCGTGTCATAGCGACCGGTCATTCTGGTCATTCGGCCGTAGATTATGTATAACAGGATATTGTAAAAATTAAGTTACAAAATTTTTATTGAAACATTTCTTACATACCGTTATATTGGCTGGGCCGCAAAAATATTTGTT